TGGCTTTCCAACCATCTCTAAAGGTAAACCCTCCAGACTGAAGGGCTTTCCAACCATCTCTAAAGGTAAACCCTCCAGACTGAATGGCTTTCTTACCATCTCTAAAGGTAAACCCTCCAGACTGGCTTTCTAACCATCTCTAAAGGTAAACCCTCCTGACTGAATGGCTTTCTAGCCATCTCTAAAGGTAAACCCTCCAGACTGAATGGCTTTCTAACCATCTCTCAATGTAAAACCCTAGCCAAGAAAAAGTTTAATGATATTATATAGCTGAATTGGAAAACCCTAGATAATGGAGTTACGATTCCCATAAATCCTGATAGTCTTGACCAACAGCCAACCTCTACAAACGTTGTCTTCTCTCTGCACCAGTCTCTCATTTCCGTGACCTCGGCATCAAAATCAATAATCAGGAAATGAAAATTTTACTCCAAGGTAGCAACTGAGTTGGTGAACTCACCAAGATTGACAGCCATGCAATTAGCCAATCAATTTCAAAAACTAGATTCCTGGCCTGTGTAAACACAAGGTCTAGAGTCGGAATTAGCACAGACTGAAAAGTTGGATGAAAAACCTAAGTTGGATGAAAAACCTGTCAAACATCACAGCACAGACTGAAAAGTTGGATGAAAAACCTGTCAAACGTCACAGCACAGACTTAAAAGTTGGATGAAAAACCTGTCAAACGTCACAGCACAGACTTAAAAGTTGGATGAACTAGAACTGCCGTCTATGGTCTAACTAATACCCCCGCGTTCTGGCTGCTTGTTGTCCCTGTAGGGGCTAAATAAACAAGGCAAAAAGTATATAGAAAGATCAAGAGTCATGAAAAAGTCTTCCCTCAGATGTCGTATCGACAGACCGATAGAAAAGACAAACACCACTAGTGTGACCTTTGACTCGATGACCTCAGAACTTTGTCACAATGTAGCTTGCATCAATTTATTAAGGTATATGTGTATACAAAATACCTTCCGTTTCCGAGATATTTAGCCATTTCGGTAGCGTAATTCATTCGTGGTCTTTGACCTTTCAAAAACGCGGAAAGTTGAAACTTGACAAAAAAACACTTATATATGTTAAAAGTTATTGCTTCTAGTATTACCATACCGAATTTGGAAGGATTAAATAAAAAAGTTCTTGCATTTTCTATACAATGTCATGGTCTAGAGAAGGTTTATGAACCAAGGGCCATAACTTTGTGAAAAGGGGAGATAACCCAATGAAAAGTGCTTTCTGCACATCTCCAAGCTGCAAGGACTTTCATCAGCAAATTTCATTAAAATCCATCCAGTAGTTTAGGAGTACACTGTACTACATTGCGTCCACAGACGGACATCCTGCTTCCAGGACCCCCCCTTCGTTGCGGGGGTATAAAAACCTGTCAAACGTCACAGAACACAAGGTTGTCTATATCACATGCACATTGTTACATTTCTACATTACGTTTCTAGTTTTATCAAGTTGAAATTCAGTTTTTACTTGGTGACTGTTGTTTTCCTCCGCTATCAATCTTCGGTAATCACTGTTAAAATCAAGAGGTCTGGTAATTTATTTTTCAATAAAACCCTCAGCACTTTCTCAGATAACCCCTCACACATACATCACAGCATAAAGTATCTGAATCTCAAAAAAAACACAAGGAATGGGTCAATTTTTGTTTTTTTTTGTTAATCTTCAATCTAAATATCCCAAAGCACAGACAGAAACTTTATCCAGCCAGACAATTTGCCATTTCAAAAACTGAACAGTGTACTGACAGTTCTAGACATAGCAATAAAGACCTCCAAGGCTCTGCTGTAACATTAGGCCTCAGCCAACATATCATGCACATTTTTTACTTTGAAAACTATTGTCAATAAACACTGACATTTTGATGAATTTTCTATATAAATCCTACATGCCCAGGAAATATTTTTTCTTGTAATGACACTGTGTGGTCTATATATTAAAGCATGTATCCGTCTCTGTCTGAAAGTCTACCAATCACCCATCAGTCTCATGTAGACCAGCTTCTCCTGTAGTTTCCTCAGCCCAACACTACTTCTTTAGTAAAACATTATAATCTTAGCAAAAATCATCATAAATGCAGGTGTCCAAAGAACAATATAATCTCGGAAACAGATATCTTAGGCAAAGAATGTAATCTAGAGAACAGATATCCTAAATACAATGTAATCTAGAAAACAGATATCCGAACAGATATCCTAAATTAAATGTAATCTAGAATACATATATCTGAACAGATATCCTAGGCATAAAATGTTATCTACAGAACAGATATCTGAACAGATATCCTAGGCATAAAATGTAATCTAGAGAACAGATATCTGAACAGATATCCTAAATTAAAATGTTATTAGAATACATATATCTGAATAGATATCCTAGACATAAAATGTAATCTAGAGAACAGATATCTCAACAGATATCCTAAATTAAATATAATCTAGAATACATATATCTGAATAGATATCCTAGACATAAAATGTAATCTAGAGAACAGATATCCTAAATTAAATATAATCTAGAATACATATATCTGAACAGATATCCTAAATTAAATATAATCTAGAATACATATATCTGAACAGAAATCCTACATTAAATATAATCTAGAATACATATATCTGAACAAATATCCTAGACATAAAATGTTATCTAGAGAACAGATATCTGAACAGATATCCTAAATTAAATATAATCTACAATACATATATCTGAACAAATATCCTAGACATAAAATGTTATCTAGAGAACAGATATCCTAAATACAATGTTATCTAGAGGCTTAATGGAAACTGATATCCTTAGTAGAACATATGGCTTAAGAGAAACCCTGACAGATATCCTAAGTAGAACATATGGCTTAACTGTAACCCTGACAGATATCCTAAGTACAACATATGGCTTAAATGAAACCCTGACAGATATCCTAAGTAGAACATATGGCTTAAGAGAAACCCTGACAGATATCCTAAGTAGAACATATGGCTTAGCGGTAACCGTGACAGATATCCTAAGAACGACATATGGCTTAGCAGAAACCCTGACAGATAACCTTAAGTACAACATATGGCTTAACGGTAACCGTGACACATTTCCTAAGTACAACATATGGCTTAACTGTAACCCCGACAGATATCCTAAGTACATCATATGGCTTACTAGAAACCCTGACAGATATCATAGGAACCATATATGGCTTAACTGTAACCCTGACAGATATCCTAAGTACAACATTAGGCTTAACGGTAACCGTGACAGATATCCTAAGTACATCATATGGCTTACTAGAAACCCTGACAGATATCATAGGAACCATATATGGCTTAACTGTAACCCTGACAGATATCCTAAGTACAACATTAGGCTTAACGGTAACCCTGACAGATATCCTAAGTACAACATATGGCTTAACAGTAACCCTGACAGATATCCTAAGTACAACATATGGCTTAACTGTAACCCTGACATATATGCTAAATACAACATATGGTTTAACTGTAACCCTGACAGATATCCTAAATACAACATATGGTTTAACGGTAACCCTGACAGTTATCCCAAGAACAACATATGGTTTAACTGTAACTCTGAGAGATATACTAATAACAACATATGGTTTAAATGTAACCCTGACAGATATCCTAAGTAGAACATATGGCTTAAGAGAAACCCTGACAGATATCATAGGAACCATATATGGCTTAACTGTACCCCTGACAGATATCCTAAGCACAACATATGGTTTAATGGAAACTCTGACAGATATGCTAAATACAACATATGGTTTAACGGTAACCCTGACAGTTATCCCAAGAACAACATATGGTTTAATGGAAACTCTGACAGATATGCTAAATACAACATATGGCTTAACGGTAACCCTGACAGTTATCCTAAGACAATGTAATACGGGGAAGAAAAATAATGATTCACAAATGTTTGAAGTACAATGTAATCAAGTGAAGAAATATGATCATAGCTTTCTTTAAGCTTTATGCCTTATTCAATCTATTATATATTGATATTAATTGTCTATGTCATTATTCACAATCTTCGCTTTAATAAATACTTATTACAAAGATGTCTGTATCATGGAGTGTGATGTATAACTCTGTGTGCTTTGATGAAGTGTTGCGACACATATGTAGACATGGAGGAAATGGAAATCTACTCAGGGCTGAAGTATTTTGAGTCAGAACCAATGTAAGGCAAGGTTCTTCTCCCCAAGGGTACAATCTACATATCCCCAATTCCTACATTATGATTGACTGTCTTTCCAATTATTTTGGTAAAAATTGACAATGACACTATAAATGCAACAACACATTTGCAAAGAAGCATTTAAATTAATCAAGAAAACTTTTTGAATGACAACAGAAAATGTACAATATCCCAGAAAACATATAGCATACCAAATATGGCATTTCAAAAACTGAAGCAGTCTGCAAAACGTTCACAGCAAAGCTTGTTCTCTTATTGGTATTTGCATGAGGTGATGTCAGTTGCCCGCTGTGTTCCAGCATTTGATTTTCTTCAGCTGATGAAAATGACAATATAATGATGACATGTATTACACCAAGATGACGTCACATTTCATAATGTCAGCCAAGAATCAAAGCTACTTAACATTTTCATCACTGATGATATTGCAGTTAATATTTCAAATAATTTATAGTTCCTTAACTTCAGGTCGCTGACGTTGATCATATAAGACACATGGTCTCACATAAGTTCCCTGAATATGTAGAAGTATAAAAACCTAAGGGTCTGTCTTTATCAAGGCAACAAAACAGACACAGGGCATAAGTTCCTCCTTCATGTGATGAGCTCTGTCTGGATATGCCTGCCATTGGTAAAATTAATTCAGAACTGATCATGAGTTTGGCTGAAAATAGCAAACATCGACTAAGTATTGGTGAAATATGGTTACACCACTTCACATACAAGTTTTACCTGATAAACCTTTGGATTCAAGAATTGTGTAGACTTACTTGAGTCTGCCATCAGCAGCGGCAGCGCCCCCCTGGATGATCTTTGTGATGAATATTGCCGGGTCCTCGCCAATGTGTGGGTTGTCACTGCCACCAGCAATACTGAACCCCAGACCGGTGTTCCCCTGGAAACATTAAGGTTGAACATAGGGGTCAATTATACAAAGGTCAATCACACAAGTCAGTTACACAAAGGTCAATCACACAGGTCAATTATACATAGGTCAATCACACAGGTCAATTATACATAGGTCAATCACACAGGTCAATTATACAAAGGTCAATCACACAGGTCAATTATACATAAGGCAATCACACAGGTCAATTATACATAGGTCAATTATACAAAGGTCAATCACACAGGTCAATTATACAAAGGTCAATCACACAGGTTAATTATACATAAGGCAATCACACAGGTCAATTAAACATAGGTCAATTATACAAAGGTTAATCACACAGGTCAATTAAACAAAGGTCATTCACACAGGTAATTTATAAAAAGATTAATCAGACAAAGGTCTCCGAGACCAAGGTCAACCACAAAAATCAATTTTACAAAGGTCAACATCCAAATTGTGTGAGAAAAACAATTTACCAACTGTCGTTATTTTTTAATTTTTTTATATGTTTAAAACAACATTAAATGTTTTTAGTAATTTCCTACCAAACCATTGTTCCCTAACTTTTGGTAGCACTGTTACCAGAGAAGATATGGTTATGTGCCTGGATAATTTTATGTCTAAACAATTTAGAACCTATGAATGAATATGTCGACTAATACCCATGTGTTTCTATGTATCAGCAAGTTAATGGAAACATCAATTTCAGTTTGCATGGACTTTTCTCAACAACCTAATTTTGTTATAAAAATAAAATTATTGATCTCATTTCTCACCAATAACAGGGGGAAATGAGCCCCCTTTCTGGTAAATGTCAGGCATGTATATAAGTTTATTGAAACTCTCTGAAAAATTGTGCACTCATCAAAACATAATTATACAGGCATGGAACATAAACAAGGCCTAAAATTGTTTCCCGTACTAATTGTATCAGCACTTCGTGTGTGAACGTAGATATATACACATATACAGTGTTTTCGGTGATAATGGAGCCATTTACTGCTGTTTTCCCATATCTATCAGACTTAACTATTAAAGTCCAATTTTCAACAGTTACCATTTATATTTAAACACAGGCCATCATTGATGCATACATCTCCTGAAAATTTTATTATGTCTTATGAATTGGAAGGTCCACAGGTGAATCTCTGTACCAATGACAGGGAGGCAATCAGAACACCAGCAATTCATCATAGACCAAGGAGGTAATCAGAACAGCAATGACTGGACGGTAATGACTAATGTCTGCCCATTTAAAAATAGTGAAAGGCAGGGGACATAATTTGTCACATACATCACTTGCAAGTGATTTAAAAGTGTTTTTGGTAAATTGGTTTCTGAATCTACAGATTCTGATGTGTTATAAAGCTGAGGGTATATTTTCCCCCCATATGACTTGAATTTTCAACTTCAGTCAGTTACAGTGTGTCCATAAAAATGATTGGGTGTATTTGTAAGTAACTGGGGTCATACTGTTACACCAATCATTGTGTAGTAACTGGGGTCATACTGTTACATCAATCATTGTGTTGTAACTGGGGTCATACTGTTTCACCAATCATTGTGTAGTAACTGGGGTCATACTGTTACACCAATCATTGTGCAGTAACTGGGGTCATACTGTTACACCAATCATTGTGTAGTAACAGGGGTCATACTGTTACACCTATCATTGTGTATTAACTGGGGTCATACTGTTACATCAATCATTGTGTTGTAACTGGGTTCATACTGTTACACCAATCATTGTGTAGTAACTGGGGTCATACTGTTACACCAATCATTGTGTATTAACTGGGGTCATACTGTAACATCAATCATTGTGTTGTAACTGGGTTCATACTGTTAAACCAATCATTGTGTAGTAACTGGGGTCATACTGTTACACCAATCACTGTGTAGTAACTGGGGTCATACTGTTACACCAATCATTGTGTATTAACTGGGCCCGGGTCATACTGTTACACCAATCATTGTGTATTAACTGGGGTCATACTGTTACACCAATCATTGTGTAGTAACTGGGGTCATACTGTTACACCAATCATTGTGTAGTCCTAGTCTACCTTTCCCCTACTATACTATCATTCTGACAGTCTGTATTGCTTTAAGCCAATGCCAAGAACTCTGACCAAGCTCATTGCTGATCTGTTAAAATGAAAGGTCACAATAGTTTCCTTCATCTGTTAACTATCTTTTTTTAATGACATAAAGCAATCTAATGCACAGTATATAGCTACAGTTCACACAATAATCTCAGGCGCTGCCTTATCAGGTGTTAACTACTAGTCCTAAGTCACATAGGTAATACATCCACATGTATGAGTGTCTAAGGCATATAGGTGTTCTATTTTGCTGTGGGACCATGTTTCTTGAAGAAAAGAGTCTGTAGCACCCACCCAGTCCTTAAAACTCCACCAAGGTTATTTGGAGCTGTCTTGGAGAGGGGGAACAAACTGCCATGCTAAAACTATACTGACTTCACACATTGCAGTCTGCATGGAAGGCTGGTATGTTAACCATTCTGACAAAATCACAAAGAGGTACCCATGTGTGGTGAGCTGACTGACAAAGGTCACCAGAATGTTACATTTGAGGCACTACAACAAGAAGTGTGTTTTACAGGAGAGTTAGTTTTTACCTGACTCTGATTGTATCATTGTGGACTACTTACCCTCTCAAGTGGAATCTCCTCATACTCCCAGTCTCCACCACCGTTCATCTGAAACAGGGAAAAACCTTACTGTGAAAAACTTATATCACATATCAATAGCGTAAAATGTTCGCCCTTTGCCAGTAAAATCCACATTTGCCCAGTTTTAATTGAGCCTTTCACATTTAATTACTATGCATATTATGTTGTTTATGTTGATGAATTCATTACAGAGGGTGAAAGAGGCAAACATTGAATTGCAGTGAAATTTTTTCTGTATACAGTATATATCAACATTCTACAGCTAATTAGTGCTAACACTACAACTAAACTGCAAACACCTTTATTTGTATCCCTTGTAAATAGTCAAGTAGCTTCATAGTGTCTAGGTCATAGCTGCTAGTCCCAAGGTCATAACAAAGCTGAGTAAACTTGTGATACTAGCCATAAATGCCAAGGTCATAACGAGGTCAACTAATTGTAATAGTCAAGGTCATAGCTGTGAGTCTCAAGGTCATAACAAAAACAATTCAACTTCTGATGTCAAGGTCATAACTGTGAATACCAAGGTCATATCAAAAGCGATTCAACTTCTGATGTCAAGGTCATAACTGTGAGTCCCAAGGTCATAACAAAAACAATTCAACTTCTGATGTCAAGGTCATAACTGTGAGTCCCAACAAGGTCATAACAAAAACGATTCAACTTCTGATGTCAAGGTCACAACTGTGAGTCCCAAGGTCATAATAAAAACGATTCAACTTCTGATGTCAAGGTCACAGCTATGAATCCAAAGGTCATTACAAAGCCAATTTGTTGTGCTTTCAAGATCATAACCATGAGTTCCAAGGTCATAATAAAGCATTCATGCCATTCCTTTGTTACTTTAGAATATGAATGGCCTCAGAACCCATTTCTTAAACAAAACTTGTGAAAACAGTGTAACTATTACGAGTACCAACAGTAGAGGCCCCACGTGCTTGAGATTTTACTCAACTTTGAGATGATTCATACAAGCACAGCGAAGTTTGTGAAACCTCAGGCCACTTTGTCAATGGGGGAGCATGCCTACCATCGTGCCACACTACCCTACCCAGGGCTAGAACAGGTCGGTGATGTATCTGCCCTACAGAGGCTGTTCTGACGGTCAGTCAGGATGGATGAGACTAATCCATAAGGAGGAGTACAGACAGGGCTAATCCTAGGACCGGGGACAGACAGGGTGTTGATTATCTCGACCCTCAGACAGCCCACTAAAACATACACCTCTCATACATCTACTCCAGACAAAGCCCAACATAGAATGCTAATTACTGCTGGTTTCTCAGGACAAAACACAATTTCTCTTCACAACACCAAGATTCCTGCTTGGTCTTTGTGCATACAACACATTGATCCCTACTGAATCCCTGTACATTAAAATACCCTCAAAGTTATCTTCATGACTCACATATTCCTCCCTAGTTCTCTCACCACATACAGATTCCAGCTATTCTCTGTAAAACAAATAGATCCTGCCTGCTTCATTTTATAGCACAAATTCCAGCTATATTCCTCGAACAACACCAATACCCTTATAGTTATCTTTGTGACACACATATTCCTCCCTAGACCCTAACTGTCTCCACAACATTAAGATTCCTGTCTAGCTCTTCACATCACAAGACAGAGATCCCTGCCTTTTTCTCTTCACAAGACAAATCCCTGCAGTTCTTCACAACATAGAGATCCCTTTCTAGTTCTCTTCACAACACAGAGATCCCTGCCTTTTTCTCTTCACAAGACAAATCCCTGCAGTTCTTCACAACATAGAGATCCCTTCCTAGTTCTCTTCACAACACAGAGATCCCTGCCTAGTTTTTTTCACAACACAGAGCTCCCTGCCTAGTTCTCTTCACAACACAGAGCTCCCTGCCTAGTTCTCTTCACAACACAGAGCTCCCTGCCTAATTCTTTTCACAACATAAATATTCATGCTTAGTTTTCTTCACAACACAAATATCCATGCCTAGTTTTCTTCACAACACAAATATCCATGCCTAGTTTTCTTCACAACACAAATATCCATGCCTAGTTTTCTTCACATTACAAATTTCCATGCCTAGTTTTCTTCACAACACAAATATATATCCATGCCTAGTTCTCCTCACAACACAAATATCCATGCTAAGTTTTCTTCACAACACCAATATCTATGCCTAGTTCTTTTCCCAACATAGATTTTTGCCTTTCTTTACAACAAAATGTCTTCATTACCTCTGAATAATCTACCAACTACGGTGCACAATGGAATCATATATAAATGTAATACTTGTCTGACGATAAGCCGTCAACACATTAAGTTAGAAATTATCACAAATCCTTGTCTTTCTACGAGACTCGTCAACAAGTTCGTACAGCAACAGTGCATTCCCTGACAATGGTCTGAAAGCCAAACGACAATAAAGGTCTTACTAGGTCGGCAAACTCATCATAACGGTCCAAGATTAATACGCAATTTTGCTTTTATTGTATCAAACCTCTTAACACATCATTGCCTCATTTACACTGTCTGATATGATACAATGAAAATGATATAAAACGGTATCTGTCATCAATGTAGTCTAGATTATTATTGCAGAGCAATGCACTTGTCAGAAAAGTTTGAGAAGATTACACCAGTAACTGAATCGACACCGTTTCTCAACAAAATAATTTTCAGAAAACATCAGGAGTACTTAAATTTAGCAAAAGGATTTTCAAAGCACTTCAGACAATTTCGTCCTGCGAGTCAAACAAAAGAATACTGTCTATCTGTGATTTCATATGATGAGTTAATGGATGATTGTCAATAAAGTTCATCTCTTGGGTCAGATTACTAGTAGTACAACAATCTTTAGTCCAAGGTCCTTATTCCAGTCTGTAGCTATAGTCATGTCGGAACAAGGTTCTAATTCCAGTCTGTAGCTATAGTCATGTCAGAACAAGGTCCACATTCCAGTCTGTAGCTATAGTCATGTCGGAACAAGGTCCACATTCCAGTCTGTAGCTATGGTCATGTCGGAACAAGGTCCACATTCCAGTCTGTAGCTGTAGTCATGTCGGAACAAGGTCGGCATTCCAGTCTGTAGCTATAGTCATGTCGGAACAAGGTCCACATTCCAGTCTGTAGCTATAGTCATGTCGGAACAAGGTCCACATTCCAGTCTGTAGCTATAGTCATGTCGGAACAAGGTCCACATTCCAGTCTGTAG